AAGCAAGCAGCAAGACGGAAGGAAAACTGAGAAGTGACACCAGACTGCCACAACTCGCCTGGTATTGCCTATGGCGCAATCTAGTACGTAACAATAGGACTAAAAATTAAACTATAGAAACTCAATTCTTGCAGCTCTAGTTACTCGCTAATCACCAGGAAGAGCTTCTTTCGTGCAGGTTGATTTTGGGGACGGGCACACTTCTCTTTTTGGCTGAGCAGTCATAATACCTAGGTATATACCGTATATGGACGTGCAGGCCAATCGGGGACCTCAAAAGGCAGTTGTGGTGCAGAGTTGTTCACGGTGCGGATAACCCGCTGTGACTGTGATCTGCGGTTTTACCGCCGGTAAGTCCACGAACAAGGAAGAAATTCACGCTTCGAAGTTTCGAAGGATGCGAACTCGGATGGGTAACCGCGGTGGTGGTCGATAACGTTCACGGTTGACTGCGGAAAAACTTTGTTTCTAGATTCTTCTTCTACTCCGTGCATATCAATTTATCAGCAGCAACGACAAAATTTGATGTGCGAATTATTTTAGACAAATCGTTGTTCACGCTCGGGTGATAATCGGACGGTTAAGACGCGCAATGATCTGATACGGTTAAAGAAAAATCCGGATATGGATATGGTTAAAAAAAAAAAAAAACAACTTTCATCACGCTCTGCAACACGTGAAAACCCATCGAAAGTGAACTTCATACTGCCACTCGGTAGAAGAGCTACCCCCACTCATTGCAGGTCTCTTTCGGTAAACAAATCTCCCAATAAACTTATCATATGGAATATGATCGATTCGATATAACGCCAACGTCGGCAATGACCAGGAGTGGCGTTATATCGAGGGTTGACTGCATGTTACGAGGGGTATGCTTTCTCTTGATCGGTTAGCAATCAGTGAACAGCCAGCCTCCTCCTGGATTTGCCTTTATCGCTCGCTCCCTCGCCGACTGCAGAATCAGTTAGAGGCAGGGGTTGCTGAATGACTCTTCGAACATCCATCCTCTGCCTTTGAGCGTATTGACCTGGAACTTACGACAGATTCAAGTGGGCTGCGTCCGATATCATTTTCATGAGTCATCCGCTCCGTAGTTCTCCTCTCATGAGGTTCGTGAGAATCCCCGGGTGGATGCCAGGAATCGAGTGGAATTCATGAGGACTTGGAGGACACATACATATATGCAAGCAGTAAGACTCAAGGCTCATCTGTGCTCTCTGACGTCTGTACGCGAGACGCACGACTTCAGATGTTTTAAATTCCACAATCTATCGATTCGCTCAATGCTTCAAAAACTAGTTATTGTATCACCTTCAGTCTCCAAGTTGCAAAAGGATGGAGACAATGGAAGAAGGACTAGCAGATAATTTTACGCCATCGCATGAAACATCACTGCATCAGGTGATGTCTTGTGATTCCTCCACACCAGGATGCAGAAGGACACCCCTCACCGTGGTGTTCCGCATTTGAGAAGGTGAGTGCCTGGTGCATCCAACCGAATCCATTCTTTTAGCCTTGAAGCGATGAGAACAGAGGTTTAACGCAGGCCAACTGGTTCGCGGAACCGATGGGCCCCCGAGACCGCACGCCCTCTCCAATATGGCATAGTGAATCCAACAATAATTTAAGGAAAAGGAAAGGGAAAGAGAGTTGTATTTTTTCTCAGGGGCGCAACCAAGGGAGGACAGGTCGGGGTATTCCTGAGGAAAGAAGTATAATGAAAATGTAAAAGAAAGCAAAAACAAAACCGTAAATAGTATCATTAATGGCCAAGATTAGGCCGGAATAGACCCTTCTGCATCCTTCCCCAACCCCAACTTTCTTCATTCTCACCTCAGCACTCTTGCTCGTCCACCAAGCAATTCCCTTGCTCGTTCGTCCAACAACCTTCCACCTCCATTCCCACTGTGGAACCCACATCGCTTTCGATCGAATTCCCTTTTTCGAAATTCTGGTTGCGTCCCCAATATCATCGCCGTAAAAAAAAAAGGACATCCGCAGACAGCCAAACATCACCGATGCTAAGAAAGGAAATACTCGCAAGAGGGAAAAATCCTGCTTGTATAGTATGGTGGCATTCGGTTTCGATCGTGAGACACACGACACTGCGTTGACATACTGAAACTATTCAGATTCCAGGTCAAGGGTTCTTTGCTCCCCCCAGTCATAGCATAAAAAACATACTTCAAGCCTCATTTCGAGAGGTGAATTCAAAGCACATTTTACCGAAGTGACAAAAGTAGGGGTTTGCCACGTAGGAGTAAGAAAACCAAGAACAACCTTGGAAACATCGAACTGAACACTCACGGAAGAAACAATAGGGTATAAGTCAAGCGCGCGAAAACCGGCTGCTTCCTTATTGGTTCTCTATATGTCTGTCTGGTGCGTTCCTGCAAAAAGGGTCTCAACTCTACCACTTGGACTCTCTCTCGTACGGTGGAGGAAATGAAAGTTCCTTCCGCTGCCAACTGACGACGATCGGACCCGAGCAGGAACTCCAAAATAAGTACGGTTCCGCATATCGTAAACTCTGTAAGGCCTCTGAAGTTCGTTTGTCTCTTTTGGAGATCTGGAATGGCGTCCATGGTAGCCTATTTGTCGTTCCGGCAACTCGTTGCCTCGATCGACATTGGCTCGATCCCCAACCCTCCAGCTCCCCTCCTCCGAGAGATCCAGCTTTAGGGCGTAGGCGAATGGGCGACCGCCATCTTTACGGCACCGAAATTCTCCAACCCCCATTTCCGCCCCACCCCGACCTTTTCGGCCTTGTCCTGGCTCAGAATACCTCTCCCCCCCCCCTCTCTTTCTGAAAATCCCGCGCGTGCCAATGACTGGGAGCATCGGAAAGCAATGTCAGTGATGTACTAAATCACCATCAATGAGGTACATTTGGATTCGTCCCAACTAAAGAGTCTGCATTCTGGGGGTAACTAACGTTGAAAAAGCACCGAAGGAATGTACGACTTAGGAAAATTCGCAGGTTGCTTCGATCGAAAACCACTCGACCGATCGCAAAGCGTGGACTCCGCTCTTCTCTGCGGTGTCGTTTCTGCCCCCGTCGAGTACCGAAACACTCAGTGCTCCAAAATTTCGCCAAACCGATCTGCCGGCTCCCGTTTCGACCGCCATCTTTCCGTCGATCGACGACCGTCGGCAGGTCGTCCCGGGACGGTCGGCGGAAACGCGGCACAACCGTGACCGTCCCACGAGCCTCGACAGGGCGATCATTCGCATGAGGTTCATGGATCTCCTATGGCCTCGGATATCGATCGTAGTGGCAGGAGGGAGGAGTCGGAGAAAAAAATACTCACGAGGTGCGCGGCGGGACCCGGCAATCCGAGAACTTGCGCGAGCAAAACCGTGTCGTCGGTCGGATCCTTTATCGTCGCCTGATCGCCGTTTCTCGACCCTTATCTCTCCTTCCATCACCCGTCTCTTGCGATCACAAGCTCTGAAAAGCTGGAGTTCTGGGCGTTTTCCTCTAGACTCTAGATTCGAGAATATAGACTCGAGATTCTAGTCCGCTTTTATCGGAATGCACGCTCCACGCGCTCCTTCTCGTCTGGCGTTAGTCTTACTCCGATGCGAGGAATCTGTCGATAGGGGTCCCGTTCGCTCGGGGAAAAGCACGAAGACCTCATCGACGGCGCTACCACCCCACCCCTCTCGACTCGATCGTGAATAGTGGAGTGAAACCCGTTCTGTTGGCCTCCTCTCGATGTCACCTCCGCGATTCCACCCCGCACGCGCATGCAATCATCCGTAGTGGCTGCGTCACTCGTATCGACAAGCCTCGCTTTCTCGACCTTTCCGTAGCCGTCAGACGCCACACCGCGAACTCTTTCGATATCGCGAGACGACGAGAGAAGCGGCCGCGGTTCCAGAAAGTCTCGACCGTCACGCAGGGAGAGGGAGAGACGGGAAGCGAAATACACCTGTAGTCCCTCAGGCGGAGCCGGACCCTCTTTCCAGAAACCCACAATGGCAACATGATAGCAAACAGTAAACCCCTGCGAGCCGGAGCCCCTTCCTGAGCCTCTCCTGTTCCGATCGGTTACGGCATGCTTCTCGTTTTTTTGCTACGTTGCATTTATTTTCCCCAAGGATCCCTAAACCCTTCCGCAGTATCTGGTCGATACCTGGATTCCCTTTCCCCCCATTATTTCTGCATTTGGGAATTACAATGCCAGTTTTTTCTCTGTGGATGTACTATTATTGTGCTGCTATCCGTACTAGAGTATCCAGGTCTGGCTCGTCATCGGTGATCACCGGTTCGCGCGGAATTGTTTTAACACGGTTATCCATATCCTGGCTTTCTCGAACTGACTGTGACCGTAATGTGACTGTGAACTGAACCTGACTGTGACCGTAATGATCGTAATGTAAAGTTGGAGGCCAAGGTAAGAAGGTGAAGATACTTGTAGGAGCATCCTCGTCGGTTTTCACCTTCACCGTTCTCTTTGCTCACTTCCACCTCCCTCTTCGCTCGTGTTCCCGTTACTCCATTCCTAGAGTCCGAGTCTAAGTCCAGATCGCAGAATGCAGATACAATCCGATCGAGAGTCGTTTCATTCCATGATGGACTAGTCACTGTGAAAAGATCGTGAAACTAGATAGGGCCGGTGCAGGACGCGATTCTGACTACGCCGCAGAAACGACTACCGTAGTGAAAGTTGCGTACGCTGAAACCACTACCATAGTAAAAATGTTGACCGCCGATTCACTACCGTAGTGAAATCCGCGTACGTACCCACTATTGTCACGCGAAAATGACTTCTGTAAGCTTACGATGTTCGTAATGGGCTGTACGTTCGTTGCACTATCTCCTTTCCAGCCATGCCTTCAGGATCTGGGTAGGAGAGTACCATTTCCCTGAAACCTTGACCTGACCTGTTAGATACTTATCGGTACAGGAATTAAAGCATAAAAAGAACGGGCGTAAAGAGAAGAGTTGCACCAGTTCTGTGGTTTCCTCGTAAAGTATACGTTTCTCTGAGGAAATGGCCGATTATAGTTACGAATCGACATACCTTCGCCATGGAGAGTACCCCTCATCCATGAAGAGCAACCCTGGAGCTAAGTCCAACCTAAGGCGAAAAGCACAGAGTTTCTGCCTGATTGGTGGAGTTTTGCATAAGAAGGGGAAGGCCAAGGTTGAAAGGTGAGTGCTTTTTCCATTGCCGTTGCAAATCTGAAATTGGTTGACGGTTTCTTGGTGGTCGGTTTTCTTAAGGTGCGTCAGATGTGTGCGCGTTCTCATGACAATGCTTTCATCCTCAGATGTCACGAAGAGAGTAATGGAAAACATAGAAGAACAAGAACATATTCTGAAGGCTTGCCATGAAGGGGTCGGCGATTCGTTAGAGACTAAGGCGCTTGGAGGACACATCGGGATTGACAAGATGGAGCTGAAGTTGCTAGTAACAAAATGTGAATATCACCCCCAGTGTAATACCATTTGATCAACTTAGCTGATGTCACAGAAATAATATATGTGAAAATGCATTTGTTCGGAGAGGAGTCATTTCTGCGTGGAGGTAGTAACATTCGCGTACGCTGATGTAACTACCATAGTTCCAGTGTAATACCATTTGATCAACTTAGCTGATGTCACAGAAATAATATATGTGAAAATGCATTTGTTCGGAGAGGAGTCATTTCTGCGTGGAGGTAGTAACATTCGCGTACGCTGATGTAACTACCCTAGTAGAATGGGCGAACGCAAAAACCACTATGGTAGTAAAGTCTGCTATGCAAAATTAACTACGGTAGTCACTATTGCGTACGCGAAAAACACTACCATAGTCGGTTTTGACACGAGTCAAATTCGCGTACTACACCGGCACTGGGACCCCCCGTCCGCGCGACAAACGTCATCCTCCAACACGAGACGGTTCATCGATCGCAACGGGAAGATGACGCAGGCGTACGGCCTCCACGCCTGTCGGTGTGGCTACCTCGCCTTAGGGACCTTCGATGGGGAAGGTCCCTATCTCCCCTGGAATCACTGGGCGGGGGGATTCAAATAAAATCCGTCTTCCAAGTGCGAGAGGAGATGGCAAGAAGCATGTCCACTTCAGTTCCTCTCTGAAAGCGATTAGAGGAGCAAAGGCGGAACTTAAAGAGGAACGCCTATTGGCCCAATACATTTCACAAGCCTATAAAAAAGACACGTGTCCAGTTCACCCACGGTCAATCTCCCTTCACATTGATTTTTGCATTCAGTACTCATATATTCATTGGATGGGAAACTCGTAGGCTGACATCCGTCTGCATAAGAAATCTAAGATTTTTTTAAAAAGAGGTACACATGAAATATTCGTGATTTTTATCTTCAGGATATATTGATCTGAATGTAATACAACAGCAATACCTTATAGAAGATCGTGTGTCCCCCGCGGACGGACGAACACGTACGTTCATCAAATTTGTATTCCCTAAGAACCCCACAATACAATTTCTCTTTACACGTACAAAAAGGTTTGACAATTTTGTTAATGCTGATGAGAAATGCAAAACGAAAAAATCAGCATTTCATTTTGATTCACCACGCAGTGTAGGTATTATCTCACCCTCGCTGAAAATGAGACACGAGAGCCTCACTACCTATCTAGGAGTAGACGATTGACCCCTTTGAACCTTAGTGAGTCGTTGGGCCTGACCGATACGTTCTGGATTAGGTACGGGCTGCAACCCAATCGCATAAAAGCGGATTGATGACTCATTTCCATCCAATTACTTCTCGATCAATGTGACCAAAATTCCGCTGCCTTAGCGTGGCGCGCCTCCAAGCCTATGCCTTTCGTAATGCCCTGTGCCAGACGAGCAGCAATCAGGTTTACTCTGTCTTCGGAAACTGTGATGTTCAGACACTTCTGAACATTCAATGAAGTACCCCCACCGTGAATTTTTCTGCCCGACGCTCAAGTCGGTGACCTCCCAAGACCAAACAGGGTTGGGTTTCCCGTTTTTTTTTTTCTGGCCGAAGGTTCGGTCTTTCGCGTGCCCACTTCTCCCTGCTTTTTTTCTGCCTTCTCTTCTACGTGGGTACTCTTCGTGGTCAGAAGACGTTTGAGGGAACTTCTGACGAGGGATCACCTTGGACGACCTGGCAACTACAGAATAACGTCACTCTGTTGTCCCTTGATTACCGCTGGCGAGTTTCCCTCACGGCGGTGGCAGGCTGGGTGGGTATTATTTTTCTGTGTGACATTTTATTCATGTTTTATTGATTCTTCCCACGACCTTGAAACTTTGCTTGGATTTACTACACGGGTTTAGAAGTTTTAAAACCTCGTTTGAACAAGAGAATCCTTCTAGGAGACGGTTTTTGGGCGGTAAGTATCATGCCATAGCCGCTATTAAAATTTCGGTGCTTGGCAAGTTTTCTCTGTGAAGACACTCTAATGACATGAAAAAAAGCATTCCCGAGAAATGTACACTCTTTCCATACCAAGACGAACAGGGTAAACCTGTGAATTCCGCTACGACTTTGGATCCAATTTGTTCCCTAGTTTTACTGGAACTGACGACGTTTGTATTGACAGAACCAACCTGTATTGTACCTTCGATGAAACTCGAGGAAAAGATCTCTCCCATCAGGATGTCCGGAGTGAATGAATAACTTTGGCAATGCTGAGAAATAATTATTCCCAAGCTTAGACTTCCCAGGAGTGCAGGTATTAAGTAACTAAAAAAGAAAACTCTCAACCTAAGGAAGCGAAAATGGTCGTCCCCAAGATCCCCCATACCAAATGAAGGGTGTCTTTCGTCTTTCCTATCGTTTCTTTTATTGGCGATGGGAAGTGGGGGGCCTCAAGGCGCATTTAAAAAGGGGAAGGACCTCTAACGTACTGGTATGCCGTAAGTAACCCTGTTTCAAAACACAAATTATGATGCTCTTAATGTTGCAACATAATTTGGCAGCCCTCACCTATCAACATATATGGTTGTTCATAGCACTCCATACATTTTGGAGTCCAACGCGATTAAATCCTCCCAGACCTCGTAGCGTTAATTGCCACATCTTGATCTTCCTGCAAATACTTATTGGATATCCTACCCTACTTGCCGATTGCTATTGGCTTTACCTTTAGATTTTCCCATTTCTTTGCAATTGGCAATATCCCAACTCATTATATCGATTATTATATAATAAGTTCACCGGCCGTCATCTGCTCCATCTGCCCAGTCCACCCTTACCGAGGCCGACGTACGGACCATCGTGCGTCAATAAATTGAGGATTTCTTCGGAGCAGTTTTTGAAGGAGTGTGTTCCAGCTGTGGAGAGCGAAGAGTGTCTCTTCGGAGAAGGATGCCCAACAGGCTTGTCATGACCACCAGGCGACCTTCGCTTCCTGGAGAGCCCCCCATCCTGGAGTCATCTTCCGGATCGGAGGGGAGCTCTCCCACGGCAACGACCACCTCTAGCTCTGATTTTAGTGAGGGACACCAGGAGAGTCCAGAGAGTCCGGCCGTCGTTCCTAGTGTCCCCGAGGAGGTGGTCCAGCTGGAACCTGCCCTTGCCGGGGACGCGGATCAACCCGAGCTGCAAGGTTCGTCCACTAAATCCTGGTCTAAATTTCTGTTTTGTGCTGAAGGACGCAACGCCCAACGTACATTATGACTTTTCATAAATGGAACGGATTGAATATCTAACATCAAATGGTCTCGGAACTCGGAAAAACTGGAAATTCTGCAATATTCATAAAACGGTATGTTTATTCCATAAAACTAATTTCCTACATTACTTTCGGCTTCTCAAAGAATTAGATTGAAGCATAAGAGGCCGCCCGACCGGAGGCCCTTCGATAGATACTCAGAAGGAACATTAGTTAAGAAATGTCTATTATTAATGCTCTCGAAACGCAACCATCCCTATGAAGAGGGAGGGAGACCCCCTCGAGTCCCCTGCCCTCGTCTGTTCCCTCCGCCTAGACCACTTTAACGGAAACCGACGTAAGGACTTTGGTGTGGAAGGGAACGTCAAAATTTATTCGGAGCAGCTTTTGTCCTCCCGCGCCTATTCCAATAAACAGATGTCACCTGTCCGAGGGTCTTTTTGATTCTCCCATCGTGACCTGCTAGAGGCCAAGAGTCCAATGCCGTGACAATATATTCGAATAAATTGAAGTACCAAAGTATATTTACATATCTATTCCGCCCTTTTCCAATGAATAATCCTGGCTCAATTATCTGGATGTCGTATGTATAACTCCATCCGACTAGCATATATTCATAATGAACTGCCTACATGTTGTCCAAATGGGTCTTGTGTCACGCTATTACAGTACTCGATATGGAACAGCCTGACTTAACGATTTGCGATATAATCTTCAGATATTAATTGACTGGCGGGCATTAAAAAAAAGTTTCCATTTTGTCCCCTTCGCTCATGAGACAGACTTTTGCAGTATTCCTGAGCCGCCATCCAACTCCTGGGCGGCGGACTCGGAGCCGTCCGATCAACGACCGGCAGACCCATGGCCGGTAGGTAATGAATTAAATGGTACAGATGGGGATGAAGGGTTTGAACAGAGAAAGAAACTAGTTAAACTCTATCCAGAGTCGTTTCTGTCGCTAGTGCTACGGCTGAAGCTCAAGATGGCTTTAGTTGTATGTAATAATCCTGAATAATCCTCAGACTGCTTACAAACACTCATCAACCACGATGATGGCCACGATGGGTGGTTGATGGCTGATTGATGGGTGGTTGATGAGGCTGATGGGTGGCCACGGCCACCCATCAGCCTCGAGACCGAAATGCTCTACAAAACTCGGGCCTACGGATGGAACAAAGCAAAAGGTATGGCTGCGAATGACGCAGGCCTATGAAAGAAAAGGAATAAAGGTAAAGCTTAACACAAGGCCACGAAAAGGCCACATTTTAGAATCCAGCTATTAACAATCTGCATTGAGGAATTGAAGTGATATCCAGTTATCTTGTGAAACTTCTTGGCCTTGACCACCAGGTACATTATGGTAATAATACCAGACAAACTGGATAAGTTACTTTCTAGAACAAAAATATAAAAAAAAAACAGTATGGGAATGAGTCCAATGCAGTAATGAGAAAAACCAATTCTCAAAGGTTTCACCTTCTTTCACCCTTAACATAAACCTCGCGATTTTGCGCGAACCTCACACGGTCAGGAGGGACAGGGCGACCCCAGGCGACTCGGCTCCACTCTCGTACGGAAGAGATTACTTTATCTTCTCGGTCTCCGACCTGCGGAGGGTGGTGGCCAAAGAATTGGACCTCCGCATGCTTGCCCCCGAGCAGCCCCAGGCCTCCCGCCCAGTAAATCCTTATCATTTACTTCTACAGGCGTGCGAGACGACCTCACCATTACGCTGGTGTTTTGGTGCCCCGGTCGTCTCTTCTGGCCGGTCTTCGCGGGAGTCTCCAAGATTATCGCCGCTGCGGTCTTCGATAGGGTCTCCAATAGACTCTGCGCTAAGAAACTCGTCGTCATCCTACAAAAGCCGATTGCCCGGTCATGATCTCCCTATCTGACCTGCGGGCAATCGTTGGAGAAGAGATGGATGCTCGCCTGTTCGTCCCCTCTTATCCTTTTCGCTTCTGCCAAGGGAAAAAAGGCGGAATCCCCAGTTTTTCGAAGGTATGTCCCATTCCCTTCCTTGAGGTGCTCCTGCTGGGAACTTTGCCCGAGTTGTCTGTCTTTCGTGCAGGCGTGCGAGAAGGCCTCACCCGTACGCGGGCGTTCGGGTGCCTCCGGCTCCCTCCTCTGATTGCCCGGTCAGCATATCAATATCTGACCTGCGGGCAATCGTGGGAGAAGTGATGGATGCCCGCCTGTTCGTCCCCTCTTATTCTTTTGTGAAGTGCTCATGCTACAAACTTTGTCTGAGTGTCTGCTGTCTTTTGTGCAGGATTTTGCGCGAACCCAACGCGTCCCGAAGTGATAAGGTGGCCTCCGACGACTTGCCTCAAATCCGGACTATAGAGTATTTTATCGTCTCGGTCACCGACCTGCGGAGAGTGGTGGCCGAGGAATTTGACCGCCGCATGCTTGCCCCCGAGCAGCCCCAGGCCCACCCGCCCAGTAAGTCTTTAAAAGTTACTACTCCAAGATAAAATAAGCCAGCCCCGCTGGAAAAAATATGAACGCCAATACTTGAGCTACTCCCATCGCATGAGTTTGTCAAAATGTCAACCTTACTTTCCAAGGTTATGCGAACCCACTTAATGCAGCCCCTTGGAGTTTCAGTATATTGCAATGCATACGCAGTTCATTTCGCATCTTCGAAATCTGTCCTTTGCAAGCATTAGTCACTTGCGGCACATTTGATTCCATAATGATCTATGACATTTCCTTAAATTGTTGAAGATGGAGAAACAGGTAGTGAAGTAGCTACCGGATGACGAGTCCAATGAAAAGGGTCGATGGGTAATGCATAGAATGAGAAAGTTTAGAAGACGTTTAGCGCTGCTCTACACGTTTGCATATTCCTGCTGAAATTACTCGATCTAAAGCCACTCCGTCATTACCACCTCTTGTCTAAATGCACGGAATTCGGTTACCCGTGGCAACTCCAACATCCCACGGATGGAGTGCCCGCATTTCCAAAAGTATTTGTACATGCAAATACTGGCATCATTGAGCTTATTCTGCATATCACCCTGTAAGAAATGCTTGAGGACTTGTACATCAACCATTACTTTTGCTCTATTATCCCGTGAGTTATGCAGCGAAAAATTTTCTTAAAACCTTCGGGAATTAAAGTATCCAATATATCAAATGCAAAATTGTGATTTGCTCTAAATTGATCGGCCTACTGATGAAACAAACACTTCATGGCTCCCTTGAACCAAATTGATGTCTGACTTCTTTAATACAGCTGGAGATCGACAGAAAGAGCAGCAGGGGAGGGACAGAAGTACTCCTTATTACCTTCGGGTCCTGCCGAGGAGATCATACAAGGAGACGGACCGACGACGTGTGCCAATCATCAAACTCTTTTAAAAATTGCCAATGTAAAATTCTTTTTAAATAAATATGCTATTATTTTTATGGATCCTCTTCGGGCCCTGCCGAGGAGATCATACAAGGAGACGGACCGACGACGTGTGCCAATCATCAAACTCTTTTAAAAATTGCCAATGTAGAATTCTTTTAAAATAAATATGCTATTATTTTTATGGATCCTCCTCTATTCTCCTCACTTCACATTTGTACAAAAGAGCTCCCAGAGATATTCGTAGACGTGGAAGTTCAGGACGTTTACTCGTTGAAAATTATGCACGAGAAACAATCCGTAGATGTGGGTCCACTCATCTGGCAACTTCTTCATTCATACCCTTAGCACTTCTAACGTTACATCGCTCTCTACTTGAAAGTTGTACCAGGACCTTGATAGGTATCCTGCAGTCATATCGGAGTAAGCCTATAATGTTCTGTATCGCTTCCTATTGAGTTACTGTCTTCCTGTTTAAATCCGTGAGATGTTCGCGTGTTTTCCTCTTACCTCATGATATTTTCAAGCTAGCAGAAGAAATTGCCGTTCCAAATGCCAGTAGCTATATCTCGCGCGAGAAATTGCAACACCATATTTCTCAGTAAAACTATCAGAGACATATGGGATCCCGAAGCTGGTGAATCAACGTACCCGACTACGAAATGGAGGACACGAGAATTCAAGGAGAGGAGTCATGGGGATATGCAAGAACAGCTGGATCCTCATCAGCGGGGACGGTCCTGCTCAAATCTTCAGGAACGAGAAAGAGGTTATCGGAAGTCCCTGATGAGGAGAGATAAACTAGATGAAAGCGAAAAGCTGAAAGGCTGCTGGTAATGACTGTAGCCACAGTTTAAGTCGAACGCAAAGTCACAATTTGGACACTCAATTGGCTCGAGAGACCTTACGCCCATGCTGCAAGAAAGCAACCAATACCGAGGGTATTGTGCTTATAGATACGACGATGCTCTGATGGATCTTCCAACGATCCATGTCTCGATGCGAAAAGAGTGGTGAAAGGAATTCAACGTACCCGACTACGAAATGGAGGACACGAGAATTCAAGGAGAGGAGTCATGGGGATATGCAAGAACAGCTGGATCCTCATCAGCGGGGACGGTCCTGCTCAAATCTTCAGGAACGAGAAAGAGTCCCTGATGAGGAGAGATAAACTAGATGAAAGCGAAAAGCTGAAAGGCTGCTGTTAATGACTGTAGCCACAACTTAAGGGTACTGTGCTTATAAGATACGACGATGCTCTGATGGATCTTCCAACGATCCAAGTCTCGATGCGAAAAGAGTGGTGAAAGGAGAAATTCCTCAAAACTGGGAGCCTTCAAGAAAACTAGAGCTACCACGTCGATCCGCCTCTCTGGCGTAAGCCTCAGTTCCGTTCGTGTAAAGCTCGATGCTTACAAGGCTAAGACTTTCTCGGCCATAATCTAGCCAATATTATACGCAAATCAACTCAAACACGAGAAATATCACGAGTGGTACGCACAGGGTAATGTATCTGAGGCCTAAGCCCATGCCCTGAAATCCGTCCCAGGCCAGGGACAAAGCCAGGCCTATGACTTGGGCAATCCCCCCCCCTTGGCCGTGTCAATCAAAGGGTGGTAATAACTGAATGCGTGTCACGTTTTCACTGATCGACTGCAAGTTCTCCATTTAAATACATTCTTTGCTCAAGTGTTTCTGTATTTTTTTCCCGTCAGGTCAGGCGTGGCGGTTCGGGACATCGCTTACATGCAATAGTTTTCTGTTTGCGTATTATGTCATGGTCGATTTATTTGAGTTTTCACAATTGATGAAATCAAAATAATTACGTAAGTTCTTTGTTTCATACGTCGCGCAAACGGGTCGCACCTCCCACAAATATTGTAGCTATTTTTGCGAGGTGAGATTGAACGTGTAAAAAAATGTTGAAAGAGGTCCTACAGGACGGCGATGAGGCAGACGCTGCAGATAATAAACGATTGGTGCTGGCGCGGAAAAAACGTTTGCCACGGCCGTTGCGGTGCGAAGAACCTAATTCGATGCTTTAGGAGGTGCTAGCCACAATAGCTAAAATGACTGATGAACAGTACCCAGTTGCACGTAGGGAGCAGGAGCGTAAGGCTGAACAGCAAGAGGCAGGGAATGCTGGAGCTCAGGTCCACTGCCGTTGCGGTGCGAAGAACCTAAATCGATGCTTTAGAAGGTGCTAGCCACAATAGCTAGAATGACTGATGAACAGTACCCAGTTGCACGTAGGGAGCAGGAGCGTAAGGCTGAACAACAAGAGGCAGGGAATGCTGGAGCTCGGGAATAGGAGAGCCATGCAGCCTGCTGGGCAACTTCATCCAAGGAACGCAGCACTCAGGTGTCGAAAGCCGGTGGGCGGCCGGGAATTGAACCCGGACCTCTTGCTTGCCAATCTGGTGTGCTAACATTACACCATGGAACTCGGGACATTTTGTCAGGCCTCTCCATGTCATCTCAAACCACTGCAGTCGTTTGCGCAGCGAGCAGTCAGGCTGTGCATTTTGCGGGCCGCTCCTCCCATCAAAATCGTGGTGATTTTTGCGAGGTGAGGTTGAACGTGAAAAAAATATGTTGAAAGAGGTCCCACAGGAAGGGGATGAGGCAGTCGCTGCAGATAATAAACGATTAGTGCTGGTGCGGAAACAACGTTTGCCGTCTAGCCGTAATGGCTAAAATCAGTGATGAACAGCAAGCAAATATGGGTAGAGCCGCTCAGACCGCTGAACAGCAAAAGGCAGCGAATGCTGAGCAATAGTGGTGACGGTGGCTGTCACACCCAACGCGAGGGCCTACAATACCATGTCATTCTGGGCCATAGGCCATGTCTACTGCCAAGCTATACCTGCCCTATGCCAGAGGGTAGTGGTGGTGGTTGTCACAACGCGCGAGGCCTACGAGACTAGGTCACTTCAGGCCATAGGCTTAGCCATCCACCCTTCAATAGCCAGGTCCGTAGGGCTATATCATTCCTAAGCCATGGGCTTGGCCATCCAACACTCTCAGCGCCAGGTTCGTCGGACTTCATCAGCATCGCTTCCATGCAATAGTTTCCTGTTATAACAGATTTGAGTTCTCTCGATTGATTAAGTCAACATAATCACGCAAGTTCTTTGTTTTCTATGTCGCGCAAGCGGCCCGCTCCTCCCATCAAAATGGTGGCGATTTTTGTGAGGTGATGAACGCAAAGAAAAAATGTTGGAGGTCCTAAGGACGGCGATGAGGCAGTCGCTGCAGATGAAAAAAACGATTGGTGCTGGCGCGGAAACAACCTTTGTCATTGCAGTTGCGATGCGAAGTGCCTAAATCGGTGCTTTAAGAGATTCCAGCTGAAATGGCTAGAATGAATGAACACCAAGCAGGTGTACGTAGGGAGCTTAGGGGCGCTCAGACCGCTGAACAGCAAGGGGCAGCGAATGCTGAGTTCAGGAAAAGGAGAGTCGTGGAGCCTGCTGAGCAACTTGAAGCAAGGAATGCAGCATTCAGGTGTCGAAAGTCGGGAATTGAACCCGGACCTCCTGTTTGCCGGTCAGGTGTGTTACACCTTACACCACGGAACTTAGGACATTTTTCATGTCATCTCAATAATTACAGTCGTTTGTCGCAGCAAACGCTTGTTAGGCTATACATTTTCCTGTAGGGAGGGGGCATTTGTTTCATATTTCATAAGAGATCAAATGTTGCGGTGGTGGTGGCCGTGGCTGTCACCCCCAACGCGCAGGCCTACAATGCAATCCCCTTCTGGATCATAGGCCAATCCATCCGCTGCCTAAAGCGCCAGGCTTACAAAGCTACGTCTTTCCAGTCTACATTATAGTTAGATTCTAAAAGCCCGAGAGCTGTGGTGATGGTAGTTGTCACCCCAGTGCGCGAGGCCTACGAGACTATGTCACTTCAGGCCATAGGCTGGGCCACCCACCCCTCAAAGCACCAGGTTTTTGAGGCTATGCTATTCGAGGCCATAGGCTTGGCCGTCCAACGCTTTTAGCGCCAGTTCCAGAGCTATATCAGTCTGAGCCATAGGCTTCGTACGTAGCTGTATCAAAGTTTTTTTCTTTATTTATTTCCGTTAGGTCAGGCATTGCGGTTCGGGACATCACTTCCATGCAACTGTTCTCTGCGTTTCAGGTCATGGCGGATTTATTTGAATTCTCATGATTGATGAAATCAAAATAATGACGTAAGTTCTACTTCGCGCAACAGGCCGCTCCTCCCATCAAAATTGTGGCGATTTTTTCCAGGTGAGATTAAACGTGAAAAAAATATGTTGAAAGAGGTCCCACAGGACGGCGATGAGGCAGTCGCTGTAGATAAACAATTGGTGCTGGCGCGGAAACAACGTTTGCCAATTCAGTTGCGGTGCGAAGTGCTTAAATCGGTGCTTTAGGAGGTGCTAGCCATAATGGCTAGAATGATTGATGAACAGTACCTTGTTGCACGTTGTGGAGCGTAAGGCTGAACAGCAAGAGGCAGCGAATGTTGAGCTCAGGAATAGGAGAGC